AAGAGGCAACAAAACAAACAAGGCACAACAACAAATGCAAACATCGATTTTCCGCCCAACTTTTTTGGGACTGGGAGTGCTTCTTTCTCCTTTACGTTTCGCTCAACAAGCTCCAACTCACCTCCAGAATCTCCATCATCTTACACGCAAACAACTACCGAGTCGGCTTCCAAGAGAAAGAAACGTGAAAGCCAATCCTCAGTGTCCAATTTCGTTAGGCGAACATCAGCAGGGGAAAAACATCTTATTGACAAACAAATAGCTCAGGCCATATTTGCCACAAACTCAAGTTTTAGATGTATCGAGAAGTAGGAAGTCAAGAAAGCCATTCATCTATTGAGACCTGGATACAGTCCTTCTCGAAAAACGGTCGCATCGCGCCTTTTGGTTGAGATTTATACGGGAGAAAAAGAGGCATGTTTTTCATCTCTTTCGGGGAAAAGAGTTAACATGTCGATTGACGGATGGTCAAACATTCACAACGAGCCGGTTATACGCGCAACATTAACAACGGAAGATGGACGAGGCTTCTCTATGAAACCATTGATACTTTTGGAAAGCCTCATACTTCGACATACCTTACTGATCTGGTGTGCGATTTAATTTCCTCGTGGCAAACAAAATTTCAGTGTCAAGTGCGATCTTTTGTAACGGACAATGCCGCTAATATGATCGCATTGAGGAAAACGTTAGAAGAACGGACGAACTCTGAAGTTATAACTTATGGTTGCTCTTCGCATTTACTAAATCTGCTTTATAAGGACTTACAGGGGCAAGATATCAAAGAACACATAGTCCAAATTGTCAAATATTTCCGCAACAATCACATGGCCAAAGCCAAATTCAGTGCAGCTGGAGGCAAAAGACTATTACTACCTAGCGATGTTCGCTGGAACAGCGTGGCCGACTGTTGGGAAGCGTATGTCACACAATGGGACATCATTCTCAAGATTTGCCAGGATAACTCAAAAGATATCGATTCTGCTATATTCAAAAAAGTCTCAAACA